CCGCCCGCTGCCGGACACAGCATCCGGGCGGCTCAGCGGCTGCCGCACCGCGGTCACCCCGCGATGGGGAGAAAAATGAAGGGGTCGCGACACGCAGCCCATTAAAAAAAGGAGCGAGAGAACCCAGAGGGGCCGCTGATCGTGTGCCGGGTCACTTCCTATCCGATCGCTGCTCATCGCCGGTCCGGTCTCCAGACGGCCTCGGTGATTTTCTGAAACTCTGAAAAGCTGTGTCTCAGCAATTTCTAAACTAGCAGAGTCAAGAAACTTGGGGGAAGTTCCGAGTGGCAAGCACACTGGGAAACCCCGAGACACGAACGCAGAGAGGACAGGAAGGAGCCGGCCAGCCCCGCACAAACGCACCACTCACCCTCGGGAGGCCCGAGGGCAGCGCTTCAGGCCACCGCAGGGACGAGGACAGCACCCCAACGTGCTCCTGACTGCACGCCCCAAAGAACAGAGAGAGCCGCCGGGAAGAGGCGGCCCCCCCAGAGCGGACTGGGCCAGACCGTCGGGACATGGAGTCCCGTTCCCAGGCACCCCGGCTCGCTGACCCGCCCTCTGACCCGCCCTCTGACCCGGCCGCGCTCACTGGACCGCCGAGAGGGCCAACATGAGCCCCGCAGGGCCTGGGCCGAGCTGTGTTCGGTCAGGGTTAGCGGCGGCTCATCTGCCTGAGGAAGAGCTTCCGAGCCCGCGTGAGGCCGCGTGAGGCCGCACTCAAAAGCACGGCCACCAAGCAGTGAGGACGGGGAACACCGGTCCACCTGCCGGGTTCTCCATGTGCAGGGCAGGCGGCTTCCCCCCCGCCCCGGCCAGGGCCACAGCTGCCAGCCCCTGTGCTCTCAGCGACAGAGCCACTGGGCTTCGGAAACTGAATGCCACGACGGGCTGCACGCGTCAGTCACAGACACGCGCACGCGTGCACTGCCCAGTCCTGAAAATAAGGCAGAAGGATCCCAAGTGACCCCCAGTGACACAGCAAGATCCTCTACGGAATGTTCCTGCGAGAATTAAAAAGAGCAGCATGAACCCGCTCTCAAGGGTGCCCACGACGAGCTGTCAGTCAAGTTCACCATAAGGTTTAGACTGATCTTAGCTATTTCAAACACTGGTAAAGATAATAAAAATGCAAAGCGTTTGCTTTCCACCCACGGGTCAGAGGGCCTTTTACAAGCCGTCACGGGACAGCTGTGTCACCGGGCCTTCCACAGCTGTCGTCCAGAGTAAAGCTCACAGCCACACTGCACAGCAGGTGCCACGTGCCCTGTCCCACAGGGGACGGATTCTGAAAGCTAATGGACACATTCGGGTGGAATCGGGTGGAATTTCGCACTTACGACACATTCGTGAAATAAATTTGCGGCAAAACGTTTTAGAACAGGCTCCCATAATTCAAGGGCCTTAGGTGCATGGGGCAGAGTCAGACGTGCCCAAGCGCCTGGCTGCACTGGACGAGCCCCTTGGGTGGCACGGTGCCGGTGGCTCCATCGGGAGGGAGCGTGTGGTCGGAAAGGGCGGTCCTCGCTTCCATTCAAATAGTTATGCGAAACATAAACAGTTACAAAAACGCTGTCTACATATCTAAGGCTTTGGGGCCCGGCTGACACATTTGAAAAGAGTTTTAAAAAATGCAAGTCTCATGGGGAGAGAAAGTGATCAAAGACAGAGATTGCTTAAGCGGCGGCCGACAGGTTGTGGGAGGGGCCGCTGTGTGCTCTCAAAGGGTCTGCAGGGGGCATTAAATCAATACAGAAATCGAAACCCGAGGCGTAAATACCTTTCCTCAAGGACGCGAAGGGCCGGCCCCCTCCTGAAGCAGCATGGGCGCTTCAACGCCCGCTCAGCCCTCTGCTCACAGGACCCCGTCCTGAACACCCCCAGCGCCTCGCTGCCCCTAACAGCCACGTTTTATGCTAGTTCTAAGTTTCACTTTTTGCTTTTTGATAAACTGCATAAGCTTTTAAAATGGAACTTCGCTTTCACTGTCTTAAGACAGGCCTTAAGACCGGCCTCAAGACGATATGCACTGCGTTCTTACGCTTCCGTCAGGAAAGGAAGCGCGTCCGGGTGGTCCCTGACAGTTGACGGGTCACCAAGGGAGAGATCATTTTTTATGTTCACGATGTTCACAAAAATGATGTCTCATTCACTGCTTCTTAAAAGGTTATCAAGTGGATAACTGACTTATGCTGAAATAACACTCCCACCAAAGTAAGGACGTAAGAAAAAATGGGATTTTATAGTTTTACACTAGAGGAAATTTATAATTGTCAGGTTTAGCCCATCTTCGACACGTGCTGTCAGTCTTAACGACCTTATACTACAGTGCACAGAAGAAACATTGTCGGAAAGATGGGAATGCAAGATTTTTATCGTACACATGCGAATAAGTAAAAACCATATGTAAAAAAACGAAAAAAGTTTTCACATATATGTGTACAGTGAGACCAGCGTTAGTACAGACGCTTCTGCACGTGTAGGAACGCGCCGGACGGAGGAGCAAAGCTGGGAGCAAGCACTGAACCCACTCCGCGCTCACTGGCCTCCGCAGCCAGGGTCCGGCCACACCACCCAGGAGGAGGCCAGAGAGCATAGGGCCAGCAAGGGTCAGCAAGGGCGCAGCTCGCCCTGTCCCAGGCAGGCTGGGGGCGCGGGAGGGAGGGCGGGGAGCCTCCCAGTCACACCTCAGAGTTGTTTCATCTGGAAAACCCCAAACTCGCCTGATTGCTTTTACTGATGTCACAGGCTACAGGTGGCTTTCCAGCCTCTGCACAGCAGTGCACAAGCCGCCTGCAATGCCGCTTTCTCTGATGACCTGCTGACTCCCTGCGACATTCTATAAACAGAATCCATTACGTTCACGACGACTTGGATGCTACACTGTATGTGCCATAGAGCAGTCTGGGGGGCTTCGGAAGAAGGGGCTGTGGGAAAGAGCGCAGGAAGTTCAAAGGCCGGGGAAGTTCTAGGAATAACTCTCCAAAAAGGTGGCGAAACTGCTTCCGGAAAAGCAGCATCGGTGCCTGGCGCGCGGGACCCAGAGCG